GTACCTGATGGTCACACGTTCAAAGGGTTTCCTATCCATTTTGTATACAGAAATGCCAGGAGAGCATTTGCCACATGTCTTCGGTAAGTTTAAATATAAAGTTATATGGATGTTAAAACCAAATAGTGATGATTATGAATTGCAACTCTTTTTTTTAATAATGAAATGTAAAGAAAATTAATTGCCTTAAATTAGAACTGGAAGAAGAATTCTATGGTGTATGTAATGCCTCATGGGGTACATAGCTTTTATGTTATATTGATGAGTTCAGTGATGATAGACTCTTCATGGGATAAATTAAAAAACAAGGCATTAATTTCTCTGCAGTTATAAAAATGATCAGTGGTAGTCCTGTTATACTCCAAGACAACAGCCCCTGCACTCAATAACAATAGAGTCATGGCACCCATTGTTATATAAGTGTTAGTAATATTTGGGAAAAAATTGCACACATCATTGAAAATTTTAATAATAGCTTAGAAATACGTTACCCTTTTTTTGTCTTGTAGGTCTCCTTTTTGTGAAGAAATAATCTGTTGTAGGGGAGACCAAGTGCGACTTGCAGTTCGTGTACGAGTGTTTACATACCCTGAATCTGCATGTGCTGTGTGGATCATGTTTGCTTGTAAATACCGCTCTGTCCTTTGAAAAAGAACCAAACTAATTTAGACCTTTTTAAGATCTGAAGAATAATTATGTGGGTGTAAAATTATGCATTTAATAACTAATATTGTATTTTATATAAATGCCACTGGTTTTGAATATCACAGTGTGTGTATTGAAGAGAATTGTGTACACAGTAGGGACTGTATTTATAAAGATAATTTATTATTTTTAATAAAAGTTATTTTTACTTTGTGAAACATGGGTCAACTTACTAAAATATGTGCATAAAATACTAGCTTCTCTATTGCAGTTCTGAATTGGTGTGAGATTTCATGTAGAAAAAAGTCTGGTTTATGTCTGCATGGTGAGAGGCTCTGTTCTACCTCTCCTGTTGGTGTAGCACCCAGGTGTGTTTTATGAGTGAGATCCAGAAATACTGAAGGTTAAGCATGTATCTGTTCTGCAACAAAATTTATTTCCACCCCTGTCAGACCTAGCTATGACTTCTACATTCAGCTTCTAAGGACAGTTCAGTCAGGTGTAGGTAACCTTGTTAATCTATTAATTTAATAAGTTACAGATTTTATATATATTTAAAATTAAGACTTCGATACCTGAACATGTGCATAGCTGTGCTTGATTAGATCAAGTGGTTTAACATGGTAGCTTTTTTCTGCTGTTTGTTCAGGAAGTTTCCTAGGTAGAAGTTTGTAACCAAGTGATTTTGTGTGGGCGATCAGCTATGGACCATGGGTGGCCTTGATCTCGAGAAGCTACAGCTGTGCCCTTGACTGTTAAAGATAAACAAGTTTGAGGGAAAGAAGGTATGTGAGATACGGATGTGTGTTGCCATTCTTGTAAGAAAATGTAAGAACCTTGTTGCCTATCATAGAATAAGATAGAATGCGTGAACAGAAGCTGTTAACCTATGGGAAGGAAGCCTAAGGTGCGTGGACAGGAGAGCAAAGTATAAAAATGCAGTGTAACCCTTCATAAACAGCTGATGCTTGTGCCCATCATGGTGTGTCCGCCACAAATGGTGACTGTTGTGAAAGGGATCGGTGACTGCAGACATGAGAGCAGCTGGCAGCAGAGCCTAGCTGAGCAAAGCAAGGCGGAATGAGAGCCTAATCCAGACACAGAAAAAATAGACACCTTTGGGGAGAAAAGGTGATCATCTGGGAACATAAATATGGGGGCACAGATGTCAACAGAAGAGAGGTCTATATTAACCGTTCTGCTACGAATACTGGAAAAGCGGGGCATAAAATATGATGAGCATGCACTATGTACTCTGCTTCTGGTGTGCAGGCTGATGCACAAAGTCTTTTTCAGAGAGACATGGGAGGGGGCAGGGCGTGCGCTTTGGGATGCAGCTACAAAGGGAATGAAATGGGCACAAAGTCGCTAACAGCTTGGCGGCTTCTCCTGGAGTCGTTGAAACAGCTAGTGTAAGGCGGATCGGGAAGCTGCAGCCGAGGCACCGGCATCGCCTGCCCCAGTGCAAGTGACTTCTAAACCGGCTCCCAGGGCCCCTGCATGCATGGAGGTGCCATTCCCATCCCCTCCATCTCCCAAAGTGTGCTCGTTACCCCCCGAATCTGAGGAAGAGTTTCAAGAAGCGGCAAGAAAGGAACCCGTGAATTCATGTGTAATAGGTTTATCAGCCGCCAGAGAGATTGGGGGAGTGAAGTGTTTGCCCTCCGACCCTCCCCTCCAGAACTCATTATGCAGACTGGTTTCAGCCCCCGGAGGGAATGACAGAGTGACGTGTCGACCCTTCGCCCCTCCACTTCCGAATTTGCTAATTACATAGCCGGTTTCTGTAGCAATTAAAGGCACAGACCCAGGCAAATTCTGGAAAAAATTGTATGAGCAAGCTAAAGAGGCAGAGGAAGTGGAACTGGCCGGTGATATTTTGGCTTGCCCTGTTATTCGTGGTAATGGGGAGGAACCAGATAACTGGGATCCGTTTCATTGGAGTGCTCTACGTCTTTAAGAACTGCAGTTATGCAACATGGATTTACCTCGCCGTGTGCTCAATCATGATTACGACTGATTTTTTCTAATGAACTAACTCCCTTTGACTGCCGTAATATAGCACAGATTTGCGTCACACCAACGCCGTTACTTGCATTTGAAGCGCAGTGGCGCCGACTAGTGAATGAAACAGCTCTGGCCAATTGGAATCGTTCTCAGGACGATCCACGCTTTGGGGCCGGGCCAGCGCAGTTGATGGGTGATCCTCCTTTAAATATCCCGCAGCTGCAAGCCCGCCTGCATTCATCTGTTTTACAACAAGGAAAAGATTTGGCTCTCCTGGCTATGCAATACGTCCCTGATATAGGGACCCCTCGACAGCCATTGACCTCTATAAAACAGAGGCTGGATGAATCTTGTGCAAGTTTTATTGACAGACTCAGAGATGTAATTGAAAAGTAGGTGAACAATGTTCCAGCTCAAGAGGCCTTGTTGCTGCAGCTGGCTAAAGATAATGCTAATGCAGATTGCAAACAAGTACTGTTGCCATTACAGAATCCAACTCTGATAGACATGATGGAAGCTTGTAGTAAAGTTGGTACCACAGCACATCAAATGTCAGAACTGGCAAAAGGGTTGGCTGCTGCATTAAGAGTAATGGAAAACTGTTCTAAATGTGGGCAACCAGGTCACTTAAAAAAGCTATGTCCATTTACAGCTGGAGAAAATGGTAAATTAGTGCCAAGCGGTCCTTGTAAAAGGTGTGGGAAAGCAGGGCATTTTGCTAAACTGTGTCGATCTAAATTTAACAAGCAGGGCCAAGATCTCCCGCCTAGAGGACTTCCGAGAGACAGGAAGTGGAGTGCACCAGGGATGCACACAAAGACACAAGTACATCCATGCAGTCCCTTCTGAGCTCATCCGGTCAACTCCAAGCCTGAACAAAGGGGAGCACCAGAGTGGATGTCACCACAGCCTTCTCAGTCATCATAAAGGACAATAAAGTACACAAGGCACCATTAGAGGCATTTGGGCCTTTGGGACATGGATTGAGTGCCTTATTGTTAGGGCGTTCTAGTGTCACTTTAAAGGGATTGTTTGTGTTGCCTGGGGTTATTGATGCGGATTTTACAGGACAAATTGCTGCTATGGTATGGACTCTGTCTCCAGCGGTTACCATACCTGTCCAAAGCTGCATCGCTCAGTTGGTGCCATTTGTAGCCCGAGTGCACAGTGCAGATCAAGTGAAGAGAGAGACTGGAGGTTTTGGCTCCACAGGTGAAGCCCAGGTGTTTTGGACACAAGCTGTTACAGAAGCTTGTAGCCTATCATAGAATAAGATAGAATGCGTGAACAGAAGCTGTTAACCTATGGGAAGGAAGCCTAAGGCGTGTGGACAGGAGAGCAAAGTATAAAAATGCAGTGTAACCCTTCATAAACAGCTGATGCTTGTGCCCATCATAGTGTCTCAGCCATGTGTCCACTGCAATTTTGCTTAACAACCTTTCATGTTTTTTTCTGATTCTGAAGCTCAGATCTATACTTGATTATCCACCTATGGTTTTGTTTGTCATAAACCTGTGGATGGTTATTTTGCTGAGTGTTCATGCTTTGAGAAATGCAGTCGGACTTACGGAACTTTTCAATACCATGCCTCTCATGTTTTTCATCCATCAAACTCCAGCCACCTTTTTTTGAGGCTAAAGAATTAGAAGGTATTTGATTTCTTCTGTGGAAGCCATTGCATATCTTTGTTTATCCATGTCCATCTCCTTGTCTTCTACTTTTAAGAAAGATCCAACTTCTGCTTCTGGAGCAATAAACCCCAAACTAATCCTAGAGGAACTTGCAATGCATACAGTGTTGGCATTTTGCATCTACGTTTGTTGAGTAGTGTGGTAGTGTGACACTATTTTTGTCTTTTTTCTACAACTAGTAAGTACAGCCTGCTGCACCACTTGGGTTTAACTTGGAACGTTAATAGTATGTTATGTACTTACTGGTTGTGCTGCCAACACAGCAGGCAGCAGGTTTAAAATACTTTGCAAATCTGATTTTGTGTTATCTTTCCTTTTGTATCTGAAATATCAAAATGGCTTCATTTGCCTGTTATACAGCATGCAGGATGCTGATTAGAGCTTCAGTTATATCTAAGGTGAAAGGCTGAATCATATGGCATGGTGGATATTGCTAAATTAAATAGCTCTATTCAAATGCCAGTTCTATCTAATTTGCAGCAGTGTATGTTACACATATGTATGTCACTGCAAGAGGAAAAAAGCAGTCATGCTAATATGACTGAAAGTGACCTATGGAGCAGGATGTCTCCCAATGGAGCCGGGCACTGTTTGGCTGCTGCAATGTGCAGTGCTGGGAGCACAGAAGGAGCACTGCATCCTGTTGGCTTGTGGGCTGCACATGCTCCAGTCTTTTGTTTAAAGCACGTGCTAAGGGGAAAATTTTGATTTCTTTTACATATACTAGGTAAAATTGTAGAATACCAATGAAAAAGCAAACAGTTTTTATTTTATTTTGTTTTATTTTATTTTTTAATGTGAGTTTTAAGATTTTTACTCTCTCAAACAGGAAAGTGGGGTTTTGTGGGTAGTGTTTATGTGCTTGGTAAGGCTCAGAATCACAGAATCTTAGGGGTTGGAAGGGACCTCGAAAGATCATCTAGTCCAACCCCCCTGCCAGAGCAGGGTCACCTAGAGCACATCACACAGGAACGTGTCTGGGCAGGTTTTGAATGTCTCCAGTGAAGGAGACTCCACAACCTCTCTGGGCAGCCTGTTCCAGTGCTCTGTCATTCTCACGGTAGAGAAGCTTTTTCTGATGTTTATGTGGAACCTCATATGTTCCAGTTTGCACCCATTGCCCCTTGTCCTATCACTGGACATCACTGAAAAAAGCCTGGCTCCATCCTCCTGACACTCGCCCTTAATATATTTTAAACTTTGATGAGGTCACCCCTCAGTCTCCTCCAAGCTAGAGACCCAGCTCCCTCAGCCTTTCCTTATAAGGGAGATGTTCCATTCCTTTAATCACCTTTGTGACTCTGTGCTGGACTCTTTCAAGCAGTTCCCTGTCCTTCTTGAACTTGGGGGACCAGAACTGGACACAAGATTCCAAATGCCTCACCAAGGCAGAATAGAGGGGGAGGAAAACCTCCCTTGACCTACTAACCACTAATGTACCCCAGGATTCCATTGGCCTTCCTAGCCACAAGGGCACATTGCTGGCTCATGGTCATCCTCCTGTCCACCAGGACCCTCAGGTCCCTTTCTCCTACACTGCTCTCCAGCAGGTCAGCCCCCAGCCTGTACTGGTCCATGGGGTTGTTCTTCCCCAAATGCAAAACTCAACACTTGCCCTTGTTGAATTTCATCATGTTTCTCCCCGCCCAACTCTCCAGCCTGTCCAGTTCTCGTTGAATGGCAGCACAGCCTTCTGGTGTGTCAGCCACTCCTCCCAGTTTAGTGTCATCAGCAAACTTGCTCAGGGCACACTGTGTTCCCTCATCCAGGCCCTTGATGAAAATACTGAATAGTCCTGGTCCCAGTACCGACCCCTGAGGGACTCCACTAGTCACAGACCTCCAACTAGATTTTGTCCTATTGACCACAACTCTCTGACTTCTTCCTTTCAACCAGTTCATGATCCACCTCACCACCTGACCATCAAGACCACACTTCCTCAGTTTATCTACGAGGATGCTGTGGGAGACGGTGTCAAATGCTTTACTGAAATCAAGATAAACCACACCTACAGCTCTACCATCATCTATCCACCTAGTTACTTCCTCATAGCAGGCTGTCAGGTTGGTCAAACATGACTTCCCCTTGGTAAAACCATGTTGACTGCTCTTAATAACCCCCTCATCCTTGATATGCCTAGAGATAGCGGCAAAAACAAGTTGTTCCATCACCTTTCCAGGGATGGAGGTGAAGCTGACTGGTCTATAGTTACCCGGGCCCTCCCCCCGGCTCTGGGGGCTGCGGGCTCGAAGGGGCGGCTCAGTGTGTTCAGGGGCAGGAACGTCGATTCCTAATATTTGGAATTGGCTCTTCCCATGCTCGCTGAAACCTCACGCACCCGTGAGGGAGGGTGGGTTACTGTCGCTGTTCCACTGCGGGGGGCGGGAGGGTGTCATCCCGCTTTCCGGCCGGCCTCGGGCCCTTCTCGGCGGGTTGTCCCGCCCACCCCGCACAGAACCAGCCCCCCGAGGGTGATGAGGTAGACCACACCCACACGGCTACCCCTGCCAGAGGCAGACGCGGGAGCCGAGCACCTCACCAGCGGCTCTAAGC